AGGAGGAAGAAGGAGGAGGACCAACAGGAGGAGGAGCAACAGGAAGAGGAAGGAGGAGGAAAGAAGACGTTGAGAAGGAGGAGGACCAAGGGCGATAACAGAGGTGCGTGAGGACCAAGACAAGGAGACAAAGAGGAAGATGAGAACGGCGTCAAGGATGATGATGATGACGATGACGATGACAAGGCTGAGGCTGAGGAGGAGGAGAAGGAGGAGGAGGAAGACAAGGAGGAGGAGGAGGAGGAGGAGGAGACGAACCTACTCTTCCCATCCTCCCTGAGGCTCTGCTGTGCTTCTCCTCTCCCTCCCAGCTTGTCAGCCCCGGAAGGGCTCGCAGGAGACATCCGGAACCCATGCGTGTCCGCCTCGACCTCCCCCCGCCTCAACACGCTGCTGTGCTGCTTCTCTTGCGAGGGGAGAAGAGGAGGGGGGGGAGGAGGAGGAAGAGGAGGAGCAGCCTTTGAGGGCGACCACTCCAGTGCTTCATGCTGGATGCAGGCAATCAGGAGAAGAAGGAGCGAGAGGAGGAGCGAGAGGAGGAGCGAGAGGAGGAGCGGGAGGAGGATGGAAAAAGTTGGATAGCAGGAGACGAGGACAAAAGAGGTGCAACCTTATACTTTTCTAGCGGTGAGGTATGAGTGAAATTCTGCTCTCTACGTGTCATGCAGAAGCAAGGAGAGGAGGAGGAGGAGGAGGAGGAGGAGGAGGAGGGGAGAAGGAGGAGGAGGAGGAGGAGGAGGAGGAGGAGGAGGAGGAGGAGGAGGAGGAGGAGGAGGAGGAAGATGAGGAGGATAAGGGGGGGAGGGGCAGGAGGAGTTAAGTACCACTGAGGGAATGACGATCGTCACTGGCTCCTTCCTCTTCTGTTTGGACGACGATGCTTCATCATTTCTCGTCCTCCTTGGGCTCGACTGTCCCGCGTTTGCTGACTCCCAGTGGTTTTCATACATTGTGAAGGCGCTTCTGTTGCAGTTCTTGCAAGCCTACCCTAATCTTTTGCTCCAGCTCGCCTTCAGTCTGTCATCTCCTCCTCTCCTCTCCTTTGCCTCCTCCGACCTCTTGGAGTTGCTCTGCTCGTGCAGTCTGCTCAACTTTCCTTCGGTCAAGTCGATTTCCTTGCTGCTCCTACTCTTCCATGTCCCAGTTCCAGTCCCTGTCCCTGTCCCAGTCCTGTTCAGTCCCTGTCCCAGCCCCTCTCCCAGTCCAGTCCAGTCCAGTCCAGTCCAGTCCAGTCCAGTCCAGTCCTGTCCAGTGCTGTGCTGTGCTGTGCTGTGCTGTGCTGTACTGTGCTGTGCTGTGCTGTGCTGTGGCTGCACTTCTATCCTCCTCCTCTCACTTTCTCCCCGTCTCCGGCCGGCTCGGACAACGGCGGCTGGTTTTGACTAAGGAGAAACGAGGGGTAGTTTTGGCCAAGATCAGCTTTAAAATAGTAGGTGGGGTAGTACTCACTCCTCTAAGGTGTTCCAGGACAAAAAGGCACCTTTGCTAGGTTCAAGGGAAATTTGACCTATGTAGGAGTTAGGAAGGACTGAGCGATCAAGGTGGAAGGAAGGGAGGATGAAGTTGTGGGCAAGGTTGTACGACAGTCAGATCAGTGCGTGACGAGCAGAGCATGCTTTAGATGTGCACGTGAAAACATTTGAGAGAGGTCTCAGGAAAAGTGAGGGAATAATGAAGAAAGCAGGGAGGAGGAGGATGCATATGTGAGAAACAGAATCTCTCGTCGTCATCGTACGTTGAATGTTCGATTTTATAAAAGAATACTGTATTTGTTTGCTATCTATCTACATCTCTACCGAGGTTCATGAGTTGCCGACATTATGATTTCCGACATCTTCATGGTGTAGCTTGAAGTCTAAGTGGTTGGCTGTCTCAAGAAGTTTGTTCAAGCTCTGCCCCAGGGCATCGTCAGCAACAGACAAGAAACAAGATCCTCGCACAGACAACCATGTCACCACAAGGGATGGTTTCAACAGTTTGGGAGGTTGCCACAACAGTCAGCAGGAGGGACTGACCTTCTTTGTCTCCCTCAGGCCTTCTATCGTAGTTCGAATGCTGCCTTGCACATGCCTTGTTGCCTCAGCAGCAGCTTTCGCGCCAGCCTCCTCCTCCTCCCGCCCCCCTCGTTCAATGCCTTGGACACGAACAGGCGCAACACGTCCTTGAAGACGCTGTGCCCGGTGCTTGCGACCGGAAGTTGAATGTCAACCTGCGCAAGCGGTGAGAGGAAGAGAGAGAGGAGGGGCGAAACAGCAAGAGGTAGAGCGAATCAAGGGTTATGAGGATGATCAGTAGGGATAGCGAGCTGAGATCAGGATGAGAGACAACAAGGAGGGGTAGAGGGAAGGGAGAGCAGTGGAGGGGGAGGAGGGAGGCAGAGAATGAGGATGAGGGGGAGGAGAGATGAAGGGGACGGGGAGGACCGGGGTGAAAGGAACGAGAAAGAGAAGAGGAGGAGGTAGGACCTTGTCGGGGATGATGCCTTGCATGTTGTGCAGCAGATGATCCTTGAAAGTTTGCATCTCCTTCTCAGCTCCTCCGCGGAAAGTGTCGTACTCTACCCTCTGCGGCTCCTTCCTTTCAGAAACGACTGGGTACATGCGGCAGGGGGAGGGGGGGATGAAGGAGTCGTAACGCGTCCGCCTGTCACGCACGTTCAGAGGGGAGCGACCTACCACCAGTCTCGTCTTACATCCATACAGGAGGCTCTTCCTTGCACTTGGGATGCTTGCGATGCTTCTTCTTGTGAACGTACTTGTGTGACGTGGAGGGAGTCTCAGCCTGAGGAGGAGGAGTTGTCTCAACATTCGTCTCCTCATGCTCCTCTTCGTGCTCCTGCCCTGCTGTCGTTCCTGGAACGCTCTGTCCCTCCGATTCGGGCTTGGATTCTGAGGAGGAATTCGGGGTCGATGACGATTTTGGAGGAGGGGGAGGAGGAGGGGGGGGAGGAGGAGGGGGGGGAGGAGGAGAAGAGGGGGATGTTGATGAGGAAGATGGTGACTGCGATGGTGGGGGAGGTGGGGGCGGTGGGGGGGGAGGAGGAGGAGGTGCTGAGGACGGTGGGGGAGAAGGCGGAGGAGCCAAGGGTGTGGATTCTCCTTTAGATGTCTCTCCCTGAACACCTTGACTTGTCTGTTCCTCCGAACTTCCTTGTTCTCCTTCCCTGTTGAAAGCATGTAAGAAAGGCCCCCCTCAGCCCGGCGCCCTCACTTGCTCGTGCTTGAGGTTTCTCCCGTCGTTCCTCCTTTGGTTTCTTCCTTGGGCTGAGACGAGACTTCAGGTCTCTCTGCTTCACCTTCGTCCTCCTCCGTCTTCGGCGCCACCGATCCAGTGGGCACCACATGCTCCTCCTCCTCCGAATGCGACGCTTCATCCCCCTTCCTCGTCCCCTTATTGTCACTGAGCGCACAGTGAGCTGCAGGAGCGAGAGGACAAGTTCTGCTTCTCTCTCAACTGACCTTTGTCTCACTGGAGGTCTCTTGTCCTTGACCGGGGAGTGCTGATAGTGGGGTCGGACAGTTGGCTTGAACTCCTCAGGTTTCCATCTACAAGGCCATCGTAAGGATCAAAGCTCATGGAGCAGAATGGGAAAGCAGGATGGGAGAGCGGGTTCACCTTTTCTTGTAGCAAGCATATGTTAGTCGTCCTCCCTCGCAGTCGATTCTCTTGCCTTTGTCGTCATAAATGTGGAAATACTACTTACAAGTCAGTACCGCCTAGAGGCAAAACCTGTGTTGAATCTTTTCCTCTACCTGCGGATAAGTCGTGGGGTCCCAAGGGTATTCTCTTCGGATATGCGAGTATCTCTGACCATAGGCATCGAAAACCTCTCTCTTGTCCACCCATGGATTCACGTTTCTTGTCGCATGTCATCAGCGCAACTGAAAGAGCTCTGACTGACTTACCTCTGGAAGAAATGCCCTTGATCAGCCTTGCCTATGGGACACGGCTTGTCCGTGCCACATGCATAGGTCTGCGCTTGTGACCACATCGGCTCTCTGTGCTCACCGACGATCCACGAGGTTCCTCCGTCCTCTACCTGCCCGCTGACTTCTGTCGGAAATCTCTCCTCCCCCATCGACGTGATATCAGTCGTCCCGTCTAGAGAGACTCTCCCAAGTCTGTCTAGATGGTGGGAGAAGAGAGCGAGGACGAGCAGTGAGGACTGGATCAGCAGGGCATGAGCAAGTCGTGCCATACTCCTCACCCTCCCGGCCCTCCCCGCTCCTCCCCACGCTCCCTCCGACATCGAAACAGAGACGAAAGACGAAAGGACAGAATTTGGCCTGAACGGGGATGAGGGCAGGGATGAGGGTGCTGATGAGGGCATGGGGGTAGAACTACTATGTTCGAATTGACAGGCGGGCCAACCCCTGGTCGGTGAATTAAACAGTACAAATAATTAGTTAAATACCCCCCCCCCCCCGCTTCGCCTCCATGCGGTCTGTGTGGGGCGCTATGGCAGTTTTTTCAGGGGGTTCTGCATGCCATGGCAGGGTATCACAACAAAATTCAAATCCGATTTTTGGCGGGCAAACCTGTGACCCCCCTCGCCATGGGCAAGCCGAAGGTGCGGAAGACCGAAACATGCCAATCATGCCAAAAACCAAGAAAGAAGGCCAGTGTTCGAAGATGGCAAGGTGTGCCTGTTTGCACAACTTGTGTACATTTATTCAAAACCCAAAAGGATGAGTGTGGTTCTAAGCGGATTTTGCTCTCGAAGTGGGATGATACCTTGGTTTTCAAGCTGTTGGATTTCTTGCAATGTCAAGATCATGCAACTTTGTCTTTGGAGTGTGAAGACAACAATCTTCTCACTTCAGCGACCCAGCATCTGAAGTTAAGTCTTCGTTCTGTATCCTTGTTTGAAGTCCAAAAGAAGCTAAAAGTCCTTGGAGATGTTTACGGACATACATCAGAAGGGTTTGCGAAATGCTTTCTCTACTATTACACCAAGGTTTTCGAAAAACAAGCATCTGGAAATCCACATGCAGGAACCACTGCTATGTATGAGCATTTAAATCGACTTCGTACACAGCTTGGTAATATGCACAGAAAGCATCGAACTCTTTTTTCCCGAATCGAAAAGTGGTCTACCTCACATTTCGAAGATTTGAATTCATTACAATCCACGATTCACGATTACTTTTTGCGGTAAGTCTGTGATGTTGCTTTCTTCCCCTCTCTGTAGTGTGATCATTCTGCAGATATGCAAAATTGTCGGATGAGCATGTTGATCCATGTCCCCCAAAGAAGCACACCAAGGCAGACTCCGAGCTGTTCATTCAGACAGTTTGTGAAACGTTCAGAACCCTTGATGGCAACACCCGATGTGAAATCATCCGAAGGATTCTGAGTGAGCACGACTCTCTGTGTCAAGCACAAAAGAAAACATCGGAGCATGAGTTCTCTGCGATATGCAATGTCGAAAGAGCAGTTTCAAACTTACATGCTTGTGGATTGCCAGATGTAGTTTCTGAATTGGTGATGTTTGCCAGTAATGATATCGACGCTTTCAGAACAACACACAAAATCATGCCGTACTTGGTAATGGATTGGTGTCGTCAAAGTTTTAGAGCGAAAGATTCGAGGGGCATGAGATTCTCCCCGGAGATTATCAGTTTCGCATCAACACTCAAAAACCTTGGCAATGCGACAATGTTGCGGTTCCTGTCAGGGCCAGGGAACAAGTTTACAGACAATTTCCATTCTGATCAGGCTTTACATAACTTGCCTCTGCCATGCATCTCTACTCTTTGCAAGCATCAAAGTGCTGACATGAAAACACGAGATGTGAAAAGGTCAAGAATATGTAGCGAAATTTTGGACAATTACAGCGAAATGATGAGTACTAACCTTGTAGATGGTATCCACGTGTTGGCGATGGACAAGACGATGATCAATGCTGGTTTTTGTAAAGAATTCGAAGATTGCGAAGCAGATTTAGGCGGTGTCACTGAAAGAAAGATGGATTTGACGGAACGGCTTGCACTGCGAAAGGAACGTTTGGCACAGCTTTGTCTGGAAGGGACGACAGTTGCATCGATTCAGGAACGAGTCATAGCCTTGTTGACCGACGACTTGGAGAAAATTAATGAAAGGAAAGCAACGGCTGAACGGGATTACAAGAAAATTCGAGACAAGTATGTCGCAAAAATGACGAGCAACAATGCTGTGGCGAGGTCAGACACGAGAAGAAATTCCTCCAATGAAGTCAGATTTACTCCACATCAATTGTACTTGACTGGGGTGATTGAGGGGTGTTGTCAAATTCAGATTCAAGTGCCGAACCTGATTGAACGACTGAATAACTACATGAGTAGTGCCGCACCAGAGGAGCAACGTCAACTGCAAGATGAATTGAATTTGTACAATGACTTGTACTATAAGACGGCAATAGCAGAACTTGGAGAGGATGCCATCTGTGTTGTTGCGCAGGATGGACAAAAGGAGATGCCTCCAGCACCTGTGTACATTGGATTTGCACAAAAAAGTTTATGTTCGAGAGATGGACAGGATATTTTCTCAGCTGTCACCAGGGAAGCTTGGGAGAGAGGAGTGAACTTCAATGTGTGGTCGTTTGATGGAGAATTTGCCTGTATACATCGGTATTTCTACAAAGACAAGCCCAGTACATTCATCCAGGAGGTGAAAGCAATCTGCAAAACGGCAACCAGTATGGATGATCGAACTCTATGTTCCTCTATTGCTGCATACATTTCAGGGCTATTCAAGTTCGAGCCTCCAATTTCAGAGCACGACATTGAGAGTGAGTGCACCTTGAACAATGCCGATGAATACGATGGGGAAGACCTGTCGTCATTGTCAGTCACACCTCAGTCGGGAATGGTACACATGGATGTGCCGGAGATGAGAGATATCAAAAATTTTGTTTTGCAATTGCGACGCAACCAGGCCATATGGCAGGTTCAGAATGAGAAGACGCTAAGATGTAGCACGAGCAAGAGGCCAAGATTGACCTTGAAAGACATGTTCTGTAGGCTGAAAATATTTTGCCGAAGGTATGGATACGAAGAAGTTCTGTCATTAGCCAATGACAATCAAGATGAGGAAGAAACATACACTCCATGGGAGATGGAGCGAAGGATAGCAGATGGGCTAAATGAGCTGGATGAAAACAAGATCCGCTTTAAATTTGACGAATGGCTGTCCAATCCCGTCATCTCTCCTACCACCAAGAAGTTGTTATTCTTCTCACCGTGCATTAACCACTTGTTGAAGAATGTCAGGCATTCGATTGGATCAGGGAAGTCACAATCGTCTTCACCGGAAGCCAAGATATGGCATAAAGCTTACAGTGATATCGCCAAGAAGAATCCATCATGGATGTCTCAGATGGAGGTCGATGGAACCGCCGATCCACAATCTGTGGATATCATGCTGAAGATGTTCAGTGAAAAAGCCATCAGTCTACTGAAGGCAGAAGGGCATGAAGCGACAGCCAGAATGGCAGAAAGTATGTCTGGCCTTCACAAAGCATTCGATCAAAGAGGTCTGACAGTTTCAGAGAGGATACGTCTAGTACGCGAAGCTCGGAGTTGGTTGTTGGAAGGGATCGACTGGACCACGGTCAGCCAGAAACACGTGAAAGGATTATCTTCTGTCGCGTTTGAAGGTTTCATAGTGGCAATTGATACTCATCTGCAAGTACAGCAGTACGTGAAAAATAAGAGACATGTGCTTGGAGACGGAGACTATGACTTCAACTCACGAACTCTCTGCACCGATAGTGTGGAGAATCTGTGGTCATTGATTGGCCATCTGAACAAGAAGGATTTCTTGAGAAAATTCAATCAGGCTTGCACAGAGTTATGTAAAAAGGTGGACCCTGACCTGCCCTTTGTGTACGAGCATTCGAAAAAACGAATTGTCCTCAGCCAACCGCATGAACGGGACACTTTCAACGTACGGAATGGATCAGATAATGACGGGGAAGCTGAGAACAGCACACATAAGAACAAGCGAAGACGAATTTATGCTAAATCAGCACAATGGGATGGAGGCCTCAATGGTAACATGCCCGGGTTTCGGGGATTACGTGACATTGCTGGTTGCAAGTCGAAAAAGAGGTATACGAAAAGTAGAAAACATTAAAAAGAGCGATAGTGACATCCGAATCATTGGTATCATGAGATAGAACTCACATTTCTCTGATAGACTGTGAGGTTTTGACAATTGTCATCATCGCGCTTTTTGCTTTAATCATCCTTAAACCTGGTCGCGGCCTGGCTGCCATTGCGATTTCCTGCAAACTTACCCACCCCCTCCCCATCAACATACCCTCTATCATTGAGGGAAAGACACCGGTCCTAGACCCTTTTATCGCGAGTTCCACCCCCGTGATGAGGGTGCATGTTTCATGGGTTGAGTGGGGATGTGGTTTCGATCGTTTCCTGTCGATTTGGCTGGCATATTTCATGTCTAGTGTAAATCTTGAAAATTTAGAGCAAAATATTCTCCAATCTAAGTCCATTTTCGTTGAGCCGCAGAGCCCGGGTACCCCTTCCTAGGGACCCCCTGGCACTTGGGCCTTTTGGTCGAAGTCCTGGGACCCCTCATGGGAAAGTCATATGGAAACTAGTACTTCCACCGGTGAAAGGGAGGGGTGGGTACTGGTGACCAAACCTCGGCCCACCGGGACGGTTACACGCCGCTGCATGCCGAGTTGGCTGAGGGGTCGCAGGAATCGGCGGCATAGGGAGTGGGGGATATGGGCAGACGGACAGTACTATGATGCTGGCATGCGCTGACAGAGGAAGAGGAGTAGCGGAGTCTGAAGGAAGAGGTCAGTGATGGTTGAAGGCTGGCTGGAGAGATCCTGACAGTCACTTGCTGAGAGGGTGGAGAGAATGGAGAGAGGGAGAGGGAGAGAGGGGGTTGAAGAGGGTGATAGAATAGGAGAATGTGATACTAGTGGGAAGAGAGAATGAGAATAAGTTGTAGAATATTTGAGCAGTCATTTGCAACAGAAAACAATTGCTGGCTCCGAAGAGCTGAGGTATGAGTTGGATCAGTCGTCGTCAAGATAAGGATGAATGGAGGAAACGGATCTTGATCCTGCTTGTCTTGAGGCTGACGTCTTTGCATCAGATGACAGGTAAAGCGGATGCCAGCAACACTCCTCAAGGTCAAGACACTTTCCATCCAATCTCCTTAGGTACTAGCAGGGACAAGCTCTTGAGACCTTGAAGGTGACGGAGAGACTCAGGTGAAGTCCCCGAGATCAGCACATGCCCGCCTTTGAAGTTGTGCTTTGCGGACGAAAGCTCGAGTTCCTACCTCATGGATGGTCGCGAATATTGCTTCACAGCCGAGTCTCCCTCTTCACCAACAGAATATGCTGTTGACGGTGACGATGAAGACAACAACGAAGAAGATCTAGCAGCGACGTTGAATGGCTTGGGTGCTCCAATATCACCCATCGTCTCTGAGGTCTCGGTCTCAAAGTTGGCAGCAACGAATATTTCGTTTCCCTTGAATATGGAAGAAGACGGGATGCTTCAAACAACTTGGCAATCAAGCATGATTGCTAAGTTTGGTTCAGAAGTAGACTCCTCTTCATCGGATGGAGAACAAGACGTCAAGATATCTACATCAAAACTCTCTGCGCGGAGTCTTGACACCTCTCATGATGACTGGGTTTGTGCTTGGGGAAAGGCCTGGGGTCACAACACAAGTGTACAAGAGCAGAAGAGGTTTGAGAAGCGGAAGATGCTGAAATCAAAGGGGGACCAGGGGCTGCGCGGAAGGAGCTTCACGAGATCGAATGCGACAGACTTGCAGACGAAAAGCGCGTCAGATCATCAGAAAGACAGGATCAAGACGATCAAGTCTCAGCTGCGCAAACAAATTCATGACACGTCAATATCGTTGGACGTCTCAGACATGAAAACACCACGTTCAATCAGGTCTGCTGCAGCATAATTGTCCATGGAGACTGATCTATGTTACATAGCCTTGAAGACAGTATGGCTAGCAGTCGCTCCACCATCCGTCGACAAGTGAGAAGGCGAGTGAGAGGTATCAATCAGTCCATGAGCTGACTATCACTACGGCAGCATGATGAGTGACAACTCTGATGATAGCGAGCTTGAGCATGATTCTCTTGTGCTTCAAAGAAAGAGCACACCCGTGAAGAGTGCGGTGGTCGAACCGTCTGTCATACAGCTCAACAGGGACACATCGAAAACAAAAGTAGCAACGTGGTCTGTCGAAGCTAGGGTCAAATCTGTGAGCTGTCTTGTGAGTTTGCTTTGAGGATGATTGATTGGTATCAGATACTTTCGTTTGACGACGACGACAACGACGACGACTATTTCAACAGAAAGAGGCTACAGAGGAGACACTATCGCAGAATCCTTGTCAGTCTCCAGTCTCAAAGCCACACATGCCCTGACAGGTGCTTGCAGGAAGCTGTAAGAAATGACAGCGACGAAGACTTGAGCAGCAAATTTCAGAGGTGAGGCACAGCCATGTTACTCAGTTTTCCCAGTTCATAGATGTGGCAGGAAATACTTTGCAATCGGGGCTTGGATTTGAAGCTGCTTGTGCCAGTATTCTTCTGCATTTTCTTCATTTATGAGATCTCTTTACCGTGATGTGACTTCACATCGTATCTAATCTGTTTCGTATCCCAATTGTTGCATCATTTCCTTTCCATCGTCGTATTCGAACTTGTTCAGCTCCTCGTCCAGCTCCTCGTTCAGCTCCTCGTGCAGCGTCATCTTCCATTCATATCGGAGCTCCTTGCTCAATTCATACTTTACCTCTGCCTTGATCTCGTCTTTGAGTTCTCCCCACAGCTCGTTCGACAGGTCCTCCCATGACTCATCTTTCCTTCAGGATACCTACCTCCTCCCCTTCTCGTACGAACATGTCCTTAGGGTGGGGAAGGAGATAGAAGGGAGGGGAAGTAGCAGGGATGGGAAGGAGATAGTTGGAGTGTTTTGGCCTACCGCTCCCGAGTATGACAGGCCAGTGGGTATGTGGCACGGGAGCAGCGCATGTCTGAAACCGCCTCTTTTCACGTACACCCCCGGAAACAGTCGCACGGACGCTGGGTTCGATATGTATCCTTCCATCCGCACCTCCTGCAAGGCTTCAAGAGCTCCTCGCCCTCAGTACCCCCTCAAGCCCATTGACGCTAACACCATCATGCCATGCTCCGTTACCCTCCTCGACCTGACCCTCTCTCGCGCCCTCCCCTCCTCTCCCTCCCGCCCCTCCCTCAAGCTCTCCCCCGCACAGCAGGCCTTCCTCGACGCCTCCCAGTCTTCCCGACGCAGGAGCGCGACCGAGCTCCCGCCAGGAGCTGTCAGAGTCAAGTCGGAGGGCGAGGATGTGATAGCGGCAGTGCTGGCGGCGAGGGGGCGAGGAGCGAGGCTGCTGGAGGCCCGGAAAGCAGGAAGGATACTAGTGCGAGGAGGGCTGAGGCGGACGACGGAGGACGGAGACGTGTAGGGGCATGTGAGGTGTTGTATAGTAGGATACTTTACGATGTGTAAAGAGCGACGACACTAGATTTAGGAGAGCCACACGCTCGCGCACATGCACTTCACTCTCTTCCAAGCTCAGACTACTACTACCTCTGCTCTGCCGCTCAGCCCTGCTCCTACCCGTCACCCTCCTCCTTCCGCAGCCTCAATACTGATCTTGCTGCTTCTTGCTCACATGTCTGCCTTCTCCCGCCTGCTTCCCGCTGTCTGGGTCGCCAGCGGTATCGCTCCTCGCTCCCCCCGGTCTCTAGCCTACCGCTGGCGATACTTGATGCCGCTGCTGACGGTGACAGGCTGCAGCCGACAAGAGGACTCAGGCCGATCAGCTTGAGGGCTGGCGTTCACAAAGTTTCACTGGCAGTCGTTTTTAGGACGCTGAGGGCTTGCTGTACGGCCGTGGGCCGCCTACCGTGCCGCCACCGTAGCACTGATACTAGGCTTTGACTCGGCACTAGGGTCATTGACGCCGCCGCCCGCCGGGGCCTCAGTAAGCAAGCCTGGACAGCCCGGTCTCGGCCTCAAGCAACTTAGTTTGATGTGACTCAGCGGTGCTCGCCCTCTGCCAATGCCCGGCCGCGCTCATCGTGGTTGAGAGTCATCCGGGCATCAGACATGATGGGACCGTGGTACTGGTACTGCCTTTACAGCCTCCTAAGCCTCGGAGTTGTCGCTCTCCTGGTTCACGGTTGTAATTTCTATCTGTCTCGTAATGGCCACGAGGTCTTGCCTGTAGCCTGCAGCCCCCGCAGTCGAAAGTCCAACAACTCTCTCAACCACCTTAACACGCACCTCTTCATATCATCACGGACACCACCAACTCTTTTGACTGTCCGAATGCTTCAGCGCTGCCCGCCACTACTGCTACTTAGTTTAACTTAACTTTGAGTAAAGAACTGACGGTTGACCTGGTACTGGTTCTCTGCGATCATTTGCGAGTCTACCGGCTAAGCTCGTCGCTCCGAGCCGGTGACCTTGGTTCGCAGACCACCCCCTTCAAGCCCCTTCAAACGACCGGGTCATCGTTCAACATTTTCCCCGTTCAGTCAATAAAAGAGATACAAGAGCAGGCGACCCGCACTCCCCTCCCACCCCTCAGCCAGCGCGACGTCTCCCATGGAAGTCAAAGCCGCTTCCGTCAGAGTCTGCCCCCGCCCTCGAGGAAGCCTCCTGACCTACTCCCCTCCTCCGCCTGTCAGCCTAGACCAAGCCCTCGTCAAGTCGCTCTTTCACCTCACCCAGTGCGAGGCGGCTCAGACCGTCGGGATCTCTCTGTCCTCCCTCAAGCTAGCTTGCCGTCGCATGGGCATCCGGAAGTGGCCCTACAACCGACGCTGCTCCTCCAAGAGGACCGACGCCTCCAGCATCCCCGGCAGACACGACGACGACGAGGAGGCCATGCGCGCTAGTGCTCGAGGAAGACCGTACTGGCTGGACTCGAGCTTGGAGGAGCTGCTGGACGAGAGCCTGCTGCATGTGACAGGGAAGGGGCTATAGAGGAGGGAGCTAGAACGTGTAGAGTATGTGAATGAAGCTTGTTGGTATGATGCGGGGCAAGAGAGGTCTTGGGCTGGGCACATTTCGCGTCTCAACCCTAGGACTGCCACGTCGTCTCCTTGGGTCGCCACGACACTCAGACCCCACATGGCCTGTACCGAGCAAGGAGGCAGAGCAAGACATCTTACGTGGACGAATCCTGTCAGATGATCGGAGGGGCAAGGCTGAAGGGCCTCTGTCCCTTGGGTAGCTGGACTATCCTTGGTACGTCTTTCCCCCCTCTCCACCTCCCGGCTTTCTGTGTGTGCCCTCCTCTCTCCGCTGCTTCCGGTAAGGGACAGCAATCAAGCCTAGGCGCTTAGCCTTGACCGATATCAAAGTCAGACAAAGGACCCTAGAAGGGCTAGTAGAACCCGGTTCGCTCGTCTTGTATACTACAGCAAAACCCTTGCGAACAGTGAAGGATCAAATCAAGGTGTACGTGGTTGGTAACGATGGGTGTGTTGATGTAGATTCTACGTGCAGATGGCTTCCTTCACTCCAGTAGGATGAGCAGCAAAAGCTTGTCAGAAGCGAGAGCTCGCACGAGGCGAGTCAGTCTGCTCGTGTAGCGAGGAGCCTGCTCTACCTTTATTTCCGATCTGAAGCCTCTTCAGCTACAAGGGTCAGTTCTCGCCTCAAGTTGTACACCACGCTTTTCTAGCATCGCTCGTGAAGTAGATCGGGCATCACTGCACGGAAGCTAAAGCGATCCAACAGAGGTGCCTGGAGTATTGGCTGTAGACGTCTACAACCTGTAAGTGACTGTAAAATCATGAAGGCACGTCAACTGTCTCCAAGACTGCTCGAAAAAGAGTCAAAACCGGTTGCAAGAGCGCGTTACTGAAACCGACTCTTTTCAGGTGTGGTTTCCAGGACCGGTCCGACTCCCCTGAAACCACTGCTATGATAGGGGGAAGGGGGGGTACCTAGAGGGGCCATCACATGAGCATATCCTCTATTTTACTCCCCCACTAGCAGGCCTTCCTCGACGCCTCCCAGCCTTCCCGACGCAGGAGCACGACCGAGCTCCCGCCAGGAGCTGTCAGAGTCAAGTCGGAGGGCGAGGATGTGATAGCGGCAGTGCTGGCGGCGAGGGGGCGAGGAGCGAGGCTGCTGGAGGCCCGGACAGCAGGAAGGATACTAGTGCGAGGAGGGCTGAAGCGGACGGCAGGGGACGGAGACGGGGGAAGGTAGGGCATGGCGGGCGATAGGCGCATGTATGGTGTACAGTAGGCCGACACGAGGATACTTTTCGATGTGTAAAGAGCGACGAGACTAGCCTCCGCGAGTCTGAGCCAAAAACACATGTACTTGACTTGAGTAGGCCCAGCATCAAGAAGTCCACCACTTGATCGGGTACTCTCCTCCTGTATCTGTATCCTACGCATCCTACCTTCCTCTCCGTGTCCTCTTCTTAACCACCCCTGCTTCCCGCTGTCTGGGTCGCCGGCAGTGTCGCTGCTCGCTTCCTTGCCTCTAGCCTACCGCTGGCGATCCTCAGCGGCTGCCGAGCAGGCTGCCAACCCCACATGGCTCCTGCTGACGGCGACTGCTGGCCGAGTCATGCTCATCGCATTCCTCTGCCGCGGCTGTGGTCCGCCCGCACGGTCGTTCTCTGCAGGAGGGGGAGGTGAGTGCGCTGCCGTCTGAGCTCTCGGGTCAGCTGAGAGTCTCGGCTGAGAGCTTCAGGGACTATGCAGGGCAGAGGGGGATGACGATGATGATGATGATGATGATGATGATGATGATGATAGACGATCTGCGTTTGTGATGTCACATTGTGCGGCAGCACAAGGTTGGGACATAGACTGCTGATTTTCAATGACCGGTCCTTTCGGGGATGAGATGCCGAAGGCGTCAAGATGAGTCGGTCAGTATCTTTCTATATCCGGTTTGACTGGTTGCTGACCAGTAGCCCTCTTACACTGAGAGACAAAGGGCGAAATCTTAATCACCTTAACACGCACCTCTTCATATCATCACGGATACCAGGCTCCAACTCTTTTGCCTGTATCAACTCCTACGACTGGACAGGTGGCCAATGACTACCCCTCTGATCATGCCGCCAGCACCGGGTCCTCCATATCTTCTCGGAGTCTATTTGTTATCGCAGACCACCCCCTTCAAGCCCCTACAAACGACCGGGTCATCGCTCAACCTTTTCCCCGATACAAGAGAGCAGGCGACCCGCACTCCCCTCCCACCCCTCAGCCAGCGCGACGTCTCCCATGGAAGTCAAAGCCGCTTCCGTCAGAGTCTGCCCCCGCCCTCGAGGAAGCCTCCTGACCTACTCCCCTCCTCCGCCTGTCAGCCTAGACCAAGCCCTCGTCAAGTCGCTCTTTCACCTCACCCAGGGCGAGGCGGCTCAGACCGTCGGGATCTCTCTGTCCTCCCTCAAGCTAGCTTGCCGTCGCATGGGCATCCGGAAGTGGCCCTACAACCGACGCTGCTCCTCCAAGAGGACCGACGCCTCCAGCATCCCCGGCAGACACGACGACGACGACGAGGCCATGCGCGCTAGTGCTCGAGGAAGACCGTACTGGCTGGACTCGAGCTTGGAGGAGCTGCTGGACGAGAGCCTGCTGCATGTGACGACAGGGAAGGGGCTATAGAGGAGGGAGCTAGAACGTGTAGAGTATGTGAATGAAGCTTGTTGGTATGATGCGGGGCAAGAGAGGTCTTGGGCTGGGCACAAGCTGCTTTTACGATGTCCGCTCCTCTCCTCCCCTGGTGCAGGGAAGCAGACCATTTCTCTCACGAAGCATGTGGGTCCAAGGGGTGATGGCAGCAAGCAGGAGATCAACCGGGTCTCAAGCCGCTCAAGATCAACCGGGTCTCAAGCCGCTCAAGATCAACCGGGTCTCAAGCCGCTCAAGATCAACCGGGTCTCAAGCCGCTCAAGATCAACCGGGTCTCAAGCCGCTCAAGGACCCTCTGAAGGACCTCTCGAGAACTGCCGCGTCGTCTCCTTGGGTCGCAACGACACTCAGACCCCCACATGGCCTGTACCGAGCAAGGAGGCAGAGCAAGACATCTTACGTGGACGAATCCTCTAAGATGGTCGGAGAGGCAAGGCTGAAGGGCCTCTGTCCCTTGGGTAGCTGGACTATCCTTGGTAGCTGGATTATCCTTGGTACGTCTTTCCCCCCTCTCCCTTAGCCTTGACCGACATCAAAGTCAGACAAAGGACCCTAGAAGGGCTAGTAGAACCCGGTTCGCTCGTCTTGTATACTACAGCAAAACCCTTGCGAACAGTGAAGGATCAAATCAAGGTGTACGTGGTTGGTAACGATGGGTGTGGGGATGTAGATTCTACGTGCAGATGGCTTCCTTCACTCCAGTAGGATGAGCAGCAGAAGCTTGTCAGAAGCGCGAGCTCGCACGAGGCGAGTCAGTCTGCTCGTGTAGCGAGGAGCCTGCTCTACCTTTATTTCCGATCTGAAGCCTCTTCAGCTACAAGGGTCTGTTCTCGCCTCAAGTTGTACGCCACGCTTTTCTAGCATCGCTCGTGAAGTAGATCGGGCATCACTGCACGGAAGCTAAAGCGATCCAACAGAGGTGCCTGGAGTATTGGCTGTAGACGTCTACAACCTGTCAGTGACTGTAAAACCATCAAGGCACGTCAACTGTCTCTGAGACTCTAAGACTGCTCGAAAAAGAGTCAAAACCGGTTGCAAGAGCGCGTTACTGAAACTGACTCTTTTCAGGTGTGGTTTCCAGGACCGGTCCGACTCCCCTGAAACCACTGCTATGATAGGGGGAAGGGGGGGTACCTAGAGGGGCCATCACATGAGCATATCCTCTATTTTACTCCCCCACTCTATCATTTCAGCAGTCAGGCTACCCCTTCTTTGATGCATAGAAGCACCGGTCCTCCGTATCAAGTCTACCCGGTCCTTCATACTACTGGCCTACCCTTGACTCGGCAGACAGATCCTCCCGCCACACCATGCCATGCTCCGTTACCCTCCTCGACCTGACCCTCTCTCGCGCCCTCCCCTCCTCTCCCTCCCGCCCCTCCCTCAAGCTCTCCCCCGCACAGCAGGCCTTCCTCGACGCCTCCCAGCCTTCCCGACGCAGGAGCGCGACCGAGCTCCCGCCAGGAGCTGTCAGAGTCAAGTCGGAGGGCGGGGATGTGATAGCGGCGGTGCTGGCAGCGAGGGGGCGAGGAGCGAGGCTGCTGGAGGCCCGGACAGCAGGAAGGATACGAGTGCGAGGAGGGCTGAAGCGGACGGCAGGGGACGGAGACGGGGGAAGGTAGGGCATGGCGGGCGATAGGCGCATGTGGGGTGTACAGTAGGCCGACACGAGGATACTTGACGATGTGTAAAGAGCGACGAGACTATTTGCCTCCCATGGCTCCTGCTGACGGCGACTGCTGGCCGAGTCATGCTCATCGCATTCCTCTGCCGCGGCTGTGGTCCGCCCACACGGTCGTTCTGTGCAGGAGGGGAGGAGAGTGCGCTGCCGTCTGAGCTCTCGGGTCAGCTGAGAGTCTCGGCTGAGAGCTTCAGGGACTATGCAGGGCAGAGCATGATGATGATGATGATGATGATGATGATGACGATGATGACCATGATGATGATAGACGATCTGCGTTTGTGATGTCACATTGTACGGCAGCTCAAGGTCTGCTGATTTTTGAATGACCGGTCCTTTCGGGGATGAGATGCCGAAACGTTTCAAGATGAGTCGGTCAGTATCTTTCTATATCCTGTTTGACTGGTTGCTGACGCCAGTAGCCCGCTTACCCCCCCCCTTTTTAGAGACAAAGGGCGAAACTCTTAACCACGTTAAAATGCATCGATTCATATCATCACGGATACCACCAACTCTTTTGCCTGTGTTTTATCTGGTTTAAAACTTTTCCCCGATACAAGAGAGCAGGCGACCCGCACTCCCCTCCCACCCCTGAGCCAGCGCGACGTCTCCCATGGAAGTCAAAGCCGCTTCCGTCAGAGTCTGCCCCCGCCCTCGAGGAAGCCTCCTGACCTACTCCCCTCCTCCGCCTGTCAGCCTAGACCAAGCCCTCGTCAAGTCGCTCTTTCACCTCACCCAGGGCGAGGCGGCTCAGACCGTCGGGATCTCTCTGTCCTCCCTCAAGCTAGCTTGCCGTCGCATGGGCATCCGGAAGTGGCCCTACAACCGACGCTGCTCCTCCAAGAGGACCGACGCCTCCAGCATCCCCGGCAGACACGACGACGACGACGAGGCCATGCGCGCTAGTGCTCGAGGAAGACCGTACTGGCTGGACTCGAGCTTGGAGGAGCTGCTGGACGAGAGCCTGCTGCATGTGACGAGAGGGAAGGGGCAATAGAGGATGCAGCTAGAACTTGTAGAGTATGTGAATGAAGCTTGTTGGTATGATGCGGGGCAAGAATGTTGTGTCAATGCCTGGATGGAAAAATGTCTTGATTTGCTACGCCCATACGAAGGTCTAAACGAGGCTTGGCAATGTCTTGCACTTGGAGTAAGATTCTTGAGACCCTGTTGTTCTTCTGCTTGCTCGCATTATCTCTTTCTACAGCAAGATCTGCTCTAAAATCTGATCGTCCTCCGAAAGGCTCAACTGTATCTTAACGAGCAGTCAACACCGCCGACGGACTGCCGGCGCGGTTCTTTTCAAGTTTCCTCACTGGCATTTCGCTGGCTTCCTGAGTCCGGAAGCCGCCCCCGCTCAAGGACAGCGTTACTGCCGCATAGCCTACTCTCCGCCGGCCGGTCAAGGTCATTGGTAAGTGGATAAGTTTCAAGTTTAGGACTCGCCTGCCCTACACCAATCCGATCATTATCATCATTAGACTGGGAAGCCTTGAAGTTCAACTCCGGCGTGACGCATGACTACTATCATATAGTCATCGTCAGTCACTCAAGTTGGATCATGCAGCTGGTCCGGATCATCAGCGTGTATTAAAGCACGGGGACCATGACCCCCACCCCCTAATCTCCGTTCTCAGCAGATGTCTCCCTCCCTACCCCCATGGCAAAATGCCAGAGTCACAGTACCCCTCCTTACCCCTCAATTTCCTGGGAAACCGCCGGGTTATAATCTTGTGGAAACTACAAAATGAGGGGTACTTGGATGGACTAAGGGGTGTGTGCTTGTTGGAAAGGAAAAAACGGGGTCCAATTGTCCTTGAGAAGCTGATATTTTGATAGGTGGGGTGCGATTGCAGGGGTGGGGGTACACAATTGATGGGTAGTGCTCTTAGTCGAGTAGGGTAGGGTCCTCCCTCCCTAAGGCAAGTGTTGGCGGGAAGTACCAGGTGCGAGGATGAGCGATAGGGAGAGGAGGAGGAGGAGGAGGAGGAGGAGGAGGAGGAGGAGGAGGAGGAGGAGGAGGAGGAGGAGGAGGCGCAAGAGAGAAGGAGGAGGAGCAATAGAGGAGAAGATTTTTTTCCTGAAGTAGGGATGACGGGACTCATGTGGAGCAGGAGGGAGGAAGGAGGCGGGGGAGGAAACAAGTGAAGTTCTGCACATTTTTTGCGAATTGGCACATAGGTTAGATGAGAATATGGACCAGGCAAAGATGTAGAAATACTCTTGATCAAGTTTAGCTGCTGCTGCTGCTGCTGCTGCTGCAAGCATGAAATGATACGGGAGATGCTGCGATGTTTGAAAGAGGTAGAGTGAATCCGAAGGATTGGAAGAGCCGAAGGAGTATCTAACGTGTCTTCGAGACCGGGGGAGAGGTCCAGGGGTCGATAACTGAAAGAAAGGATGTGCAGAATAACAAGACATGTTTCCAATGGTAGAAACATAAAGAAACATGCAGTGAGAGAGAGGGAGAGAGTGGGAGGGAGGGAGATGCGAAGGTATAGGATTCCAAATTCAATCTAATATGGGTGGACCAGGGATGCCTCCAAGGCGACAGGGTACCCAACAGCAGAAGAGTGTTGAAGCACCTGCTGTGAGCAATGGCAAGCATGTGGGCAAGAGCGTAAAAGTGAAGGTAAGAGAGGCAGAGGAAGGGGAGAATGGGAGAAGTATGAGGTGGTATTGGTCGGCTGCCTTGGGGTCGCTCTTGGTGTGCTCTTGATACGTGCCGCAGTGTACGGATGGGAACTTTTACATGGGAAAGGTGATGGAATGGAGTGAGAAGGAGAAAGTCTACAAGATCTTGCTGGAGGATGGCGACGAGGTCGTGACGACACTTGAGGACAGGTGAAGGGGAAAGAACATGCAGTGTGACAGCTGAGATGATTGCAGTGATGAAGAAGTTGAGTTGTTTGATGATGAAAAGGAGGTGAGAGGAGGAGGAGGAGGAGGAGGGAGGGGGGGGGGGAGAAGGAGGAAAGGCAGAGAGTAGGAGCAGAGGGGAAACAGGTAACGTCGAGGTTGCAAATGTGACGTGAGAACAGGTGCAGGAGGAGTCGGAGGAAGATTCCTCTTGGTCTGCAGAGGAAGCAGATGAGAGCAGAAGGGAGGAGAGCGACGTGGAGGTGAAGGGGCGGCAGAGGACGAAGGGGGCAGGGAGGGGCAGGGGAGGCAGGTCGTCAGGAGGAGATCGATCGTGGAGCTGTGCCGAGGGTCCGTCGAGAGGAGCCAAGGGGAAGAAAAGTCTGGAGGCAGACGACGACGACTTTGAAGGGGAGCAGCCAAAGGTGCCGACGAAGAGGAAGGGAGGGGCAGGGGGAGGGGGCAGGAAGGCGCAGCCCAAGAAGCCGAGGGGAGAGTATGTGTGCGAGAGAGGATGCGGGTTTGAGGGAGACTTCAAGACGGTAGAGGCACATGAGAACGTGTGCGGGTACGTGCGAGGTGACCAATGGGAGTCGGACATGGACTCGGAGGAGGAGGAGACGTTCCTGCAGAAGTGGGAGCTGAGTGTGGAGAGGAGGATGGAAAAGAAGATGCAGGCACCTGAAGGGCTGCTCGTCTCCCTGCTCCCCTTTCAGATGGAGAGCCTCGCCTGGATGTGCGACCAGGAGGCTTCTGCGTACAGGGGAGGAATCCTTGCAGACGAGATGGGGATGGGAAAGACGCTGCAAGCAATCTCCTTGATCATGGCGAACAAGCGGCAAGGAGGAGGAGGAGGAGGAGGAGGCGGCGGCGAGAGCAACAGCACTCTCGTGATCTGCCCTGTGGTGGCGATGGTGCAGTGGAGGGGGAGATCGAGCGCTACTGCAGGGCAGGCTCTCTCTCCCTCATCATGTACCATGGCCCCAAGAGGTGCATGGACACCGAGGAGCTGAAAAAGTTTGACGTCGTGCTGACGACCTACTCGATTGTTCAGGGGGAGTACTCCTCCTCAATCCGCGACGCCAAAGTCGCGTGCAAGTACTGCGGGAAGAAGTACCTTCCTCCCCAGCTGAAGGTCCACCACAAGTTCTTCTGCGGACCGGAGGCGAAGAAGTCGGAGAAGCTGGCGAAGCAGGAGAAGAAAGCTTCTTCTGCTAGCGCTGCATCCTCCTCGAGGAGAAGGTATGAGGACGACTCGTCCTACTCGGATGAGGAGAGTGAGGAGGAGGAGATGGAGGAGGAGATGGAGGAGGAGCGAGGTGG